TATAAAAATTCTTATATTGTTGGTTTGAATGGCTCATTCCTATCTTTTTGATCTTTAGATGGTAAATTTCTCGTTTCTTTCTTCTGCATACTTTTGTTGCACTCTTATTTTAATGCAGTAATCTTGCCTGTTACATGCTGCACGTATTTTATACTCGTTGCGTTGTTTCTCATATTACCCGTTCGGTGGCTTTTACTTCTTCTGACTCCACAGCTTTTCTCTTTTCAGGGGTCGCCGTGCCTTACTCTTTTTCCTTCGCCACTCATTTCCGTCCATCGTGTCTTCTTCATTTAAACCTTTTTATTTTAAGTACTATGCCACACAGTCCTTTTATGTTATTATCACTTTTCCTCTACCTATTTCGCTCAACTTCTAACAGCTGTACCCTTGGTCACACATTACACCAAACCATCGATGCCTTTGTTCTTAAAACTTTTTGAGTCTTTCCCTACTCACTATCTCATCCCTTCTAGACTTATCCACTGTAAAATTTTCATTTCAGCTAACTCCATCTTCTTTTTCTGAACCCTCTTTACAGGCCACACTTCACCGTTGTACACCAACGCAGGCTTCACCATATTCTTGTATATCTTTCCTCTCGGCCCCTCCCCGATTTTTCCCCAAGTTTGCCCTTTCCTCTCACTCACATACACTCCGTTTTCGACCCACTAATCTTTCTTAGGTCCTTCCTCTTCAATAACTATTCTCCAACCCTTTAACATTTCTTTGCTCTCCTTCATTAACAAGATATCATCCGCAAAGAGAATTGGCCAAGGAGCCTCCTCCCTTACCTTAACCGTAACTGAAAAACTTTCAGTCAATCTGACTTCCCAATTCCTTACTTTGGTGTACGCTCCCTCGTACATATCTTTCACGAGCCTTACAGAAGGAACCCATTTTATTTTCTCTCTCATACATGTCCATCAATGTTGTCTAGGAACTGTGCCTTACTCGAGATCTATAAATACCAAATCTCTTTTCTTCTCGCGTATTTCTTTATCAACTGTTTCAAAGCAAACAAGATACCCGATATTTTTCTTGCAGGCATGAATGTCCCCTTTATATTTATACAGTGATACCATCACGTTCTATCTAGATGTATTGGTTTTCCTTTCTTCCTCATATATACTCATTATTTGCCACAACACATCAACCCCTTACACTCCTAGAGCCACATCTATTCCATTAGATCCTACTGCTTAACCATTTTTTATTCTATTATTCTCAGTCTCCTCTGCTGTTCTTCCTTTAGCAACTCTCCAAAGTACCATCTTTGCTTTATTTCAACATCGGATCTTAACACTCTGCTCTCTTATTCTTTTCATCCCTGGGGTGTTATCTTCAAAACCTGTACAGCTTTGCAGACGGTATTTCCTTATCTCCCTCACTTTTCGACCTCTTATACTTCTTTCTAGCTTCTTTCTTCTCCCTAACCTTCTGTTGTACTTCATCGTTCCACCACCAAGTTTCTTTGTTCATAGGAGGCCCATTACTAGATGTTTTTCCTAGCACCTCTTCTCCCCCACTCGTATCACACCTTTGATGTTGGCTTCCCACGAATCATTTACTCTATCTTTTTCCTCAAACTCTTTCATTACTCCATTCTTGAATACTTTTACCAACTTCTTATCCTTTAACTTCCACCACATTACTTTCTGATGTCCTGCTTGGTTTCCTTTCCGCCTAACCTTTATCTGCATATCCATTATCACCTGTTTATGTTGACTAGCTACACACTCACCCTTTACCACTTTACAGTTGATAACATTTTTTAGCAGGCTTTTTCTACGCAGCACAAAATCTATCTGACTTTCCCTTCATACGCTCCTAGAGATACCTTACTGGTATTCAGTATTCATAAAGAATGTATTAATCACAGATAAAAATCCCATGCGACTGCAAAGTAAATCACACAATTTTCTTCATAATTTATTATCCCCATCCCCCAACCTCCATGAACTCTTTCTATTCCCGTTCTTTTTCAGGGCACTCCAAAATTCTTCCTTTTAATGCTCTTGACACCCTATCTGTGGGTCGAAGGCACATATGATGTTCAAGTTGGTTTCGCATATAATGTTAAGTATGTGTTGATATCGCTATTTCACATCTAATATATTCCCATCTCTATTTAATTCATCCTCTATTTAATTTCTATATGTTGTTTCTCAACGTCCCCTTGTTTCCCAGTTTACTGACATTAATTTTATTAGTATTGTTAGGAATTATTCTTTACTTCACATGAGAAATAATTAAGAAGTGATTAGGATCACAAGGTTCTTCCTATATATCTCCTTACATCTTGCAAGGAGGAAATTCCACCATTGTAGGAAAACATTCCCACATTGATCAGTTTGCACTCTGACAACACTGTTTGTATAGTCATTTAGTGTTTTTGCCTATCAATTTTCTCATTGCAATCCTAGAGTAAAATTATGAATTCATGTTCGTACATTTTATCGCATTTTCGTTATCTCATACTCATCATGAAATGGGTAAAAGAAAGGGTACTTGATTTCTTATCAGAGATTCGCTAGTGGTGGTCAAATTCTAAGGTTTTCCCAATATTTCTGTATAGTATAAATACTGTATAACCATATATTTTCTGTTTCATCTCATTTCTTCAAGACATCTCATTTAAATTTCCAGGCATTTACTTCGTCTTTCCTGTCTCGTGTTCAACGTTCGGTATCCTTTTGTTGAACTTGCATAACAGTTGATTTTATATGAGCAGGTTGTTAAGCTTTCGCATAACCCTCAACTTGGTGGGCTAGAATGGGTCGTGGTAGTCAACATCATTGTCTTTGCTTTTATTCCTATGCAGGATCGGCTTCCCCTTATTATATTTCTCCATGTTTCTATCATGAGTCATACCAATATCAATCCCCTTTACTAATGTCCTGCTAAGCGTCTCCCCTCAGGTCTTCTTTGGCCTTCCTCTCCTATTCGTCCTAAGGAACCTGCAGATCAGCAGTCCTTAGTATTGGGTGGTTAAAGTCTCGACGTTGAACTTGACCAAACCATCTTAATCTATGGTCTCTTATTTTAGCATCAATTGGTGCCACCCCTAGATTTCCCTTAATATACTCATCCTTAATTATATCCTTTTTTGTCACTCCGCTCATTCATCTAAGTATTCTTATTTCTGCCATATGCACCCGCTGTTTATCTTTCTTTTTAACTGCCCAACATTCAGTTCCGTCCATCATAACTGGTCTTATGGCCGTTTTATAGAATTTTCCCTTCGGCTTAATTGAAATTTTTCTGCCACACAACACACCACTCACTTCCATTTACTTCATTCATCCAACCCTAATTCTACTAAAGCATCTTCATCTATTTCTGATATACTGATCCTAGATACTTAAAACTATTGTTTTCACAATCATTTTACTATCCAAAGGTATAATTTTATTTGTAGTAACTCCAACTTTAAATGAACATTCCAAATACTCTGTTTTATTCTACAAAATTTTAAACCTTTTTGTTTTATTCTACAAAGTTTTAAACCTTTTTCTTCAAGAGTTTGTCTCCACTGTTCCAGTTTTTGTTCTATATCGCTTTTACTGTTTCCTACTAACAGTGCATCGTCAGCATACATTAAGCACTAGGGAATATTGCCTTGTAGTTTCGCCGTTATCTGATTCAACACTAATGAGAATAAATAAGGACTAAACACCAAGATTTGGCCTATTTTCACATGAAATTTATCAGTCCCTCGCATGCCCATACTAACACAAGTTGTAACTCCCTAATACATTTTCACAATCTTTACATATTCACTGTGGACTTCTTTCTTATCGAGTGCTTACCACAACATCTCTCGAGGAATTAAATCATATGCTTTCTCAAGATCGACGAACACCATATGAGCGTTGGTTTTTTTTATTCTTGTAGTTTTCCATCGACTGCTTTATAATGAAAATTACATCTGCTGTTGATCTGCCTTTTATAAAGCCAAACTGATTATCGGATATTTCAGTTTCTTCACATATCTGTCTATCAATTACTCTCCCCATATTTTCACGGCGTGACTTAAGTTTTATGACCCTGTAGTTCTACATATCTCTCTGTATATCTACCTTGTTTTTGTAGATGTACTAATATACTGCACATACATCATGTGGAGTGGCGCATTTGGTGCACTCCAATTAATTTTTGTCAGAGAATTAGTCCACAATAATTTGTTATGTGACTGGGGCTCAATAATTATTGTGTAATCGCCGCCATGCAAATTGTACGTTTTATGTTTTTAGTGAGCTACTTATCTTCGGATAATTTTTGTATTTCCAGAAAGTTCTTGTTCCTGTCAGAATCTTCTTCATTAGGTGCCGTCTCTAATGGAGGTTAGCAATATATTTTGTAAATTTGTCTCTATCCTGTGCTTTTCTTATTAGGGTTTGAAGGTCTAGTCCTGTCCAATTTCCTGTTCTGTTTCGCAGCCAGGACCACGCTTTCCTTCCATTTTTCTTCCAATATTCCTGTCGGAATACACTTTTAATTTCTATATTTCTATCATCAATTTTATTAACTGAAATCTCGAAGTTCTCAGTGTTTTTCGTTTTCGAACATGTGTCTCCCAATCTTTACCTCTTGTGTTAACTCTATTGTTTCTGTATACTGTGAGTTCATCAGCATAATGCCACAAGCTGTAATTTTACATTAAATAATGAGGTTGATAGTGAATGACTTTTTCTTACCCCAATTGATATTTTGATATTCTTTTGTTTTTGGAGGAGCCTTCTTCTCTTAGGATTGCTGCTAATGATCCGTCCACTTTCATTTTCATTAACTCATTAAGTTTCATTCAGATTTCTTGATTTTTTATACGTTCTATAAGGTCTGCTCTTATTAAACTACACTAAATGGTTGCTATATTTAATACATAAGGGGCATATATTTGGTTAAACTCCCTAATGTCTAACACGATTCTCTTGCATATATGACAACCAAACACATTCAATCATGTACATAAGCAATTTACTAACGTAATATTTTTATAGGGAAAAGAAACGAGAGAAAGAACGAGATGAACTTTGGAAGAAATTAGCAGAGCTTGAGATATCACATAATAAAACCATGCCTGCACAACTTAATAGCCCATCCAACAAAAAGTGATAATATAATAACAGCCTAATTAACCCTGCCCCTTGTTAATTGTTTGCTGGTAAGTAAGACACCATGCAGGTGGTAATACTCCCATCACCATCTCTCTGTCTCTCTCAGTTGGAGCATGCTTCACAACACCAGAAACATTATTACATATATACATGTATATGTCTTTATTACTTACACCAACTTGTTCTTGCACTGGCAGTGTATTGAACGTTTTATGTAAATTATTTTATGTTACTAAAATAACTAGTCTATTATTTTGTGAACTGTTATTTTTAAAATATCATTTTATAAGTATTTTCCCTTTGTAAAATTATCGCATTAAAATAATAGATTCAGTCCAGATTTTTAATCGCTTCTTAGTACAACATTGTTACAATCAGATATGCCTATTTTCTAACCTTTTAGTTAGTGTCTGAACATATCATTAAATGATCTATTGTAAATTACATTAGTCCAATATCATTTTTGATCATGTACATTTTTTAGAATACAGTATTAGATTTTTAGTTTTTTTTTAACACAAAAATGTTGAGATTATTTTTTTATGTTTCCTTTAGATGTATTTAATTTCCACTTAAGTGTATGTCCCTTCGTCCGTTGGTATTCTTCAAAGTAATCTCCACTGTGAAATTCAGTTTTTGTAATGATTATCAGTGCCATGATCGAATTTGTTTGATTGAATCTTCTCTATACCGGCGAAACGTTGATTAGCGTTTTCAGTTTTGGAAACAAGAAAAATTTAAACGGAGAAACCAATCGCCACTAGACCAAAAATGTTGTTGTTTTCTTCTCACTGCGTCACGCAATGTTTCTAGAATTGAACGAAAAACTCTTTGTTGATTGTTTAGTTTAGACTAGTAGTTGAAGTTTAGATTGTGAAAATGGTTGTTTTGTTTTGGGATCATAGCGATAAACCCACGACTCCCGTAATGATCTTTTTAAGTATAATTTGTTGTCCAGAGCAAATTTTTCGCTGTTTTTCTGCTGCATTGTATATTAGTTTGGCACACTCGCGTGTCATTCCCAAATTCTTGGATAGAGTTCACAAAAAATAAGTTTTCTAATTGGCGCAGTTATTGTCAACCGATATACAGTGATTTTTAAACTGACTGATCCATTTTTTTATATTCTTTTATCCATACATTCATCTATCAAGGAATTTTGCCTCATTTGAAACGTTTTTACACAACTTTTTTCGAATTTAAGCAAAACTAAATAAAAATTACAAACTAGATGCTTCTCGTTGATAACTGTGGTATGCAGCAAGTTCGTAGAAAGTTACTGGTTACACTTGTGGCCTACAGAAGTTGCTGGAAACTTGTGGCGCAAACAAGCCTAGTATATAAAAGTTTTTTCTTCAGTAGATTGAGAATTTAATAATTCCAAATGTACGTTTTATTTGCCTGATGCCTTTTGTACGGAACTTGTTTTTGTTCCTTGAGTTTGGCAATTTCTAAATGATCCTGCAATCCAGATAAGCTTAATATTCAATGTGAAGAAGGTGTTCTTGCGAGTATCGAAGAGATCAAATAATTTTTTATTGCAATGAGTGCAACCAGTGTTGTGTAGTCTCTAACTTCAAACGACTCTATTAATGTGTAATGCTTAGAAACTGAGACGCTGACTAATGCTACCTGTAAGAAATTGGAGGCAGTTGAAATGAGGTTTTGTAGTAGGATGTTTAGAAGATCATCGACAGAGTTCGGAAGCGACGAACATATATTTTGTTCAAAATAAGTATAAAGGTTTTATATTTATTTACATATATAATAATTATTGCAAATCATTGAAAAAGTTTGCTAACCTATTATTTTCATTATTTTTTATTTGAATATAAAATTGTTTTAATGACACTCGGAAAAGATTAGGCACATCTGATTAAAATTTAAAATTTCGCTGATAAATTTCCCTGTTTTCCAATATATCACACAATATAGTGAAGAAAATGACTTCAATAAAAATATTAACTTCGATAATGTGTTTTACTTGTGCTGATTTTACCTCATGTAACAATTAACTTGCTATTTGGTACTTCCTATCTAATAGACAACAGACGATTAATATGTTTTAAGATAACATTAGTCGAAGCTGCTTTTTTTACGAATTCTTCTAAATTGGATTAAGTGTCAAGATAATATACTACATTCAATTTAGTATTTAAATTCAGTTAAATTTCCAAGTCCTTACAGGTCTAGCAACTGAAATAAGGATTCTCACTACCAAATTGGTGAGAATCCTCATTTAATAAGGATTTAATTTAAAAATTTAATAGAAACAAGTGATAAGGGATCGATTAACTGAAAGAAAAACGAATAATAAATTGTAGCGACTGTAAATTAAAAAGATCTTTTAAAGATATGCAGCTTGGGTAGCTCAGAGGTGTAAGTATTTCTATGGCGCCGTTTCAAAGGCCTTGACAAACTACCAAATCGTATACTGTTTGGTAAAACTCCTCTACACTTGGCCTGTAGTGTATATCTATGTACACTTATTGATATCCAACACAGCTGTATGCGGAGGGAATATATACAAAAAATTAGACAGTCTTTCAGGTTTGAATCGTGTCTTGTTTGGGCATTCCTTATGTAAATACATCACAACGTTTCGCTACACGAGGCATGCAATGTCCTAGGGGCAAAAATAACTTGTTATAATACACATAACTCGAAGTACTCATCGCACGTTTGACTAAGTCATTGACTTTTTTTATATAAGATGTATCAATAATGACAGTCTTTTTCTGTTGGGAAGGTTAATATCGCAGAAAGAACGGGATATTTTTTAGAATTTCGAATTCGTCTTGGAAATAGGAAATTTGACAGTATTTAGACATTTAGCATGTTAAAATTGCATAGGATGCGATCGGCTGGAATTTGAGAGGAACCTTTGATGACTGTATTAAAGACAGAATGATGGGTTGGGAGAAACGGCACAAGCTGTTTTTTCTTATAAACAACGGATTGGATTTTGTATCTTGTTGATGAAAAATTAGATTTGTTCTGCTTGTGAATAAGAGATACAAACTAAAAGTACCAAATCATTAACAATAAGAGTATTGCAAAGTTCGAGAGGAAGAAGGGTAAGTTGAGCATTTAAGAAACTACTGTGATGAACCCCTCTACGGTAGTTGGTTTTGTCCTAGACTACGTTGAGTTACCGTGACCAACGGCCTCCATCCTCCTGAAGAAGCTACAAACACGTGTGGTGAAACATTGTGAGGGATACGCATATGGCTGGTTTAAAGAAGATACAGTACAAACCCTGAAGATGTTTTTTTTTTACAATTCTGACTTGATTCATGATTATATTCTAGTAAATAATGAAGATAAGATTATCGATAAACGATACAGCGATAAATAATTTATACAGTAAATCGTCTGTCGTGCAATTGAGTTATTGATTTTATTAACGTTTTGGTTGCTTTGATTATGTTTTGGTAGCAGTTGCAATTTTACCAAAACTAAAATTTTTTAATAGTATAATTTCACAAAAATTGACTTCTTCCACAAATAATTGATCATTATTAAATCAAAGTATAATTACAGAAAAATCTTATAAATGGCAAAGAAAAATCTATGACAACGCTGTTTTAATAAATATTAACCCAATCTAACCTACATACAAAATCAATTTTAAACATTTCTGTATTTTTTTGACTTTCAATAATGCGTCAGAATAAGATAAAACACATTCTTTCTCTTCAAATTCCTCGTTCGGATGAATAAATGAAGAAAATATTAGACATATTAATTTACTAACAATTAACACAAAATTTGCTCTTATTTGATATATATTTAAACATAACGAAAGCTGTGTGTTTCTACATTCTCTCTTTAAGTTCACATATATTCATCAATCTATTCATTTAAAATCTAGCAGTATTACTTGACAAAAATAACTTTTATAAAATATGAACTGATGAAATAATTTTGTACTTACAAAAGTGAGTGATTTATTCATCATATAAAAATAGGAACACTGAAGAAACAAAGGGTACTTGCTTTTGAGTTAAACATTGAAATGAGTTCCAGGATACTTCAATAATAAAAGGTTACGTATTCTATTTTGTTTCTAAATATATTTAAACAAATTTTATAATTTACAAACAATTTCAGGTTTTCACCAATAATACAATAGATAGGAAAACCAAATGGCTGTTGGTTAATAAATGTTGAAGCATATTTTCTCGCTCTTTACATCATATTGTCCATTAATTGTATTCTAACACAATTAAGGAAATACCATCTCTTTCAAATACACTCTGGGCCAAAATTAACCGGTCACCTTAAAAATGGGTAATTTTTGATTTCTTATATCTCGTAAACCTGTTGTCCGATTTAAGTGATCTTTTTAATATGTTTAGCCTTATTCCTTGACAATATCTTTATAATAATATTGTTGCTAAACAGTTAAATTTTCATTGTATATCGGTGTACGAATCAAACTGTTTTTTTCTTAAAGTTTGCATCACCCTGTGGAATATTCTAGCATTTGTAGAATACTGAAATTAAATCGTAACTATAGCCTCATGTTTTCTCAACATTTGGATTTTTGATTGATTCGCTTATTTTGGGTAATACAAAAGTTAGGTGCTTACAACTAGACATGTTTTTTATCAATTTTTATCTCCGAGGAAGAGAAAAAATATTCTTTTTTAAAAAAAGTCATTTGTTACAGTAAAAATCCAATGAATAAAATATTTGAAGAAAATTCAAATTAACAATATTTTGAAAATCAAAGTCTAATTGAAAAAAAAAGTTGGTATCAATAATGGGTGTTGCCACGTTTCTAGCCCTTAGGACTTCTTGGAGCCGGTTTGGCAATCCGTTCATGGTATCTTGGATATCAGATTGGGGGATATTGTGCCATTTCTTTACCGCAGCTGTCTTCAGCTCTTCAAATGATGCAGGGGCTGGTACTCTTGCTCTTATCTGTCTTTTGAGGTTGTCCCAGATATGCTAAATCGGGTTAAGATCGGGACTGTGTGCTGGCCATGGTAGAACTTGAATCCCGACCTCATTAAAGTATTCTCGGGTAGATCTTGTTGTATGGCAACGTGCATTGTCATGCATTAGTCTGAAGTTATCACCAATGAATGGTGCAAAAGGCATGAGATGGTCTTGGAGAACTTCTTGCACGTATACTTGGGCATTCACACTGCCTCTACCGAACACAACAAGATCAGTACGCGCTTCGTAAGAAATAGCTCCCCAAATCATTATTGACCCTCCTCGGTAAGCCATTGTTTCGGTTATAGCGCATGCAGCAAACCTTCATTTTGATGCCTATAGGCACGTTGGCGTCTATCTGGATATTTTAGGTCTATTCTGCTCT